GCCGTCACAAGGACAAGTTTCCCGTCTAAAGCGAGGGCGTCGCAAATAAAAAAAAAGAGCTGATGTCATAGAGGCTATAGAGGTCGATCGAAATTCAACCAACCATGCAGAAAAAAAGTCCTGCCCCCCTCTGTTCTCCAGTTGTCCCGCCACGCGTTCGGCAACCTCGTCCCACCGTAGCTTTACTTGACGGCGCTCGCTCTTCTCTTTCTCCCATGCCCAGAGGCGCGCGCAGCGAGCATTACACCGTGTCTCCCTCTCTCTCATGTTTCTCTAAAATATTCTTTAGTACTCCTCCCTCTTCCTGTCACCCCTGTCGCCCCGGGGACGCCTTCCGCCATAGCGGCGGTTGCGCCCCCCGCCGCCGTACTCGCTCCTGAGGGTGTTGCAGTAGTTGGTGGGTACAAAGCGGCATGCGTGCGGAGCAAGGGGTGGGGGTCAACAGCAAGCCCAATGGGTTTTGGCGCACTCGCTGGTTAAGGGTGTTAAACGTCATTCGTTGGTGCGGACCGATAAAAAACGGCATGCGTGGGGAGTAGGGGGTTCGGGGTACTCATGCAAAAAGCATCGGGGGCAGGGGCGGGGGCGGGTACCCAGCAAGGTGGTGACAGTTCCCACCCGGTCAATCATTGATCCAGCCACACAGGGAGAGAGGGAGAGGGGACAACGGAACGGGACCGCGAAAAAGCCAGAGGTGTACATGACTCCACAAAAAAGAAAGAGATGGACAACCTTCCATGGCGAGGTCGCTACCACCAACATGCAGCAAGACGAACAACGCGGACAAATTCTTGCCGCGTGCGTCTAAATCGCTGTAATAGTCTTTCCGCCAACAGGCCCGCCGAAACTGCGCGACGGAGTACCAAGGACCAGGACCCTCCGCCGCCCGTAACGTCACGATTACACACACCGAGATACAGTACACACCTTGGGGTGGGGGTGCTCTTCCTCGCCTCCACGGTGCAGGGCACACCGCCGAGCTCAAGGCTCTCGCTGCCGGCGATGGCCGGCTCTACCATCTCCGGAGCCCCGTACTCCACGAATGCCCAGGTGCGGATGTCGTCGCCGATGTGCTTGACGCGCAGGATTACCGAGGTGATGTCGCCGTACTGAGAGAACTGCTCCAGCAGGGAAACGGAAAGGATTCAGAAATGGGTTGGGTTAGGGTTTGAGTCGAGTGTCGCAAGAGCGCGCGAATTTGCAAAAAAAAACGACCACAAAACACGATGGGGGCTGGGGCGGGGCTGGCAGTTGAGAATTCGTTTGCTCGTGGCTAGGAGAGCGTCGGCATTTTCACGCAAGACAGGGGTACAGCAGTACCTGGCTTTTACAGCCACCCGTCTCTCCCACAAAGCCCACGCAATGACGCAGTGGGCGAAAGAGAGACGCACGGAAATTAGACTCGGCAACGATCGCCGCAAGACGGAGGAAGCAAGGTTTACTGAAAATCCTCCCGGCGATAGAGCTCAGGGCACGCCTCCCGATAAAAACAAGGCGGAGGGGGAAGGGGCTGAAGAAGAACAAGCCTTCCATGTGACCCCGGCTTTACGTAGCAGGATGAGCGGGACTCTTGTTGGGCGCAAAGGAAGTTTGTGTTCTTCAATGTTTCGTTGTCCGTCC